CAACTTACATTTAAGCAACAAACGAATGCTCCAAACATTTTTCTAAATTAACATAATAAAAAAAACGAAACTAAATATAATCACTTTTCCATTACATACAAAACGGAACTATTTTAATAGCTGAAACAGTAGTATAAGCTGTTTTGGGAGAAGCGGGAAAAAAGACGGGCATCTGACGACGCACGCATTAACGGCGCATATTCTCTGAGACGACGAGGGACGAATCTACTAATTAATATGCGGTATATAACTGTTTTAATTTATTTCCTTAAAAGTAGGGTATGTAATTTTTCAAAAACACTTTAGAAAACTGATTCGGGCCGAATAGCAAAACAAACTTGTAGCCAATCAGCAGTAAGGGGCGTGTCTACTCAATGTAAAACAGCTATTTTCTATGTGAATATCTGTTAAACTGTAATTGATTGCTGTGATTTTCAGCATCATTACTCCAGTCTTCAGTGTCACATGATCCTTGATGAAGCCTTGGTGAGCAGAAGAGACATCTTTCAATAACATTTAAAAACTTAATTATTCCAAACATTCTCATGATCCTCATAAGTCCGTGTCATGTGTTTTTTTCCCGTAAAAATCAGTTCACACCGTGCCATTCAAACACAGAGTAACAGATGCTGCTACAGTGACGCTGGTCTCCATGGCGACGGGGGGAAGTCAAGAAATAACATCATGACATTAGCAACAATTACCTGAAGAACCACGATCAAGTGTTTCCGAGCAATTATAGCGATTAAAGCCAGCCAGATTAATTACATGTGCTACAATTAGATGTTCCTTTAACACACAGATGCAGAAATAAACATTGAACTGATGTAACATAATATAAATATGTATTGTATTTCAGTTAAAAGAGCTCTTGTTTATAAAGTCACACTGCTTTATTCTGATTGAGTTTGCATTGAAAGCCTTCATATGTGTTCATACAGTATTTTGCACTGACATCCAAACTTTATTTAGGCCTTTATGAATCAAACCACACAGTGTTTATCAGTAACTAATACAGTAGTCTGCTGTTGCTGATGGATTCGTGTAATAAAACTGTTTTCCGGCCATTTATTCTTCCTATGTCTGTTTGTAATAGAACCATTTATGAGCTAGAAAGAAAGGACAAATATTATTTTTACACTGTAAAAAAATCCATCTACTTAAATGAAAAAACTTCAGTTCAGCTGCAGTCGTAAGTATAATCAAATCAGAATCATTTTGACTTATTAAAACATATTAAACTGACTTATATATAATATAAATAGAGTTCAATCTTGTGTAACGTAAAAAATGAAGTTTAAATTATTAAGTGAATTAAAGTAATGCAAAAACACATGTTGCAATGACTTAGTGATTATATAATATATTACAATTAATAAATAAAATCATATAAAGACCCTAATTATGCTTTTTGACGTTGACAGCTCCGGCTTCTCCTGTCTGAAGCGACACGAGGGCGAGTAAACGATTAAAGTTTAATTTTCGGATGAAGCTTTAAGGCTTTTTGGTTGAAGTTAAATCAGACGTCTGAGAAGACGAACAAACTCTCATCGCACTATTCAATCAAAGTCATCTTTAAACAATTTGCCGTTGCATGAATGACGATTAAATCCAAACAGAGCCTGGTATTGTTGGAAGAGAATGCAATCAGAGGTTCATCATGCTCAGAAGCAGTGTTGGGGGTAATGCATTACAAGTAACACGAGTTACGTAATCAGATTACTTTTTTCAAGTAATTCAAACATGCAAAAACCATTCAAACAGACTGAGAAATAAACACTCACTCGTCACTCGTGATATGCATGCTTTTGTGCAACATCACAGGCTCTGAAGCTGAATGCATCGCGTGTGTTTGGACAGAATGACTGTCATCTGAGGCCTTTCTGTGTGGATTATACCGGAGTTTGAACTAAAACTAAATTATAGACTGAGCAACTGGCGTCTGTTTTCTTGGAGATCAGAGCTTTCCAGAAACTATGAGTGTCCTTAACCGTTTTAATGGCGAAATCCTGCAGGCCATGAACCAGAAAAGACATTTTAAAACATTAAACAACAAAAACAACAAAGAGAGAGATGGTATATTTACATTTTTAATGCATTAAAAAAAGAATTTAGTATATTTACCAAAAATAATCATTTTAAAAGGATATATAATGTATTTTACGTGTTTTAAATCATTTAAATTAATATATTTACTAAAAACATTTTTTTCAAACTCTTAAGAAAATATGTAGTATATGTTCAATATTTTTTAAGAATTTATCCACGATGGCTTGGGCTTCACCGGCGGAGACGCATTTCAGACACAAGCACAACATTAGAAATCAAGTCAAAACCAAATTTCCTTCAGTCTAGAGTCATTGGAGGTGAAGCGAACTAAACAAACCAAGACGATCAGCTGTTGATATCTAATATCTGTTCTCAAAGCCGTCGCAGCAGATTTTCAATCAGAGCGTGACCATAAAGGCCATGCAGCTTGCTGTCTGATGTCTATGTAGGCATGTCTAGAGATCAGATGTATTTCATTCTGATCACCTGTTGCTGAAGCTGAAATATAGCCTATAGCAAGAAATTAATTCAGTATGTGCATATGCTTTAGACTGAATAATAATGCCATCCTTATAGAAAAAACCTCACGTTTGGTGCTGAAATGCTCCCTATGTAGACAGCACACTAGGTTTTGATTTCATGCTGCTGTCAGGAGTTTCATTTCAATTAGAGTCGTTTCATTTTCAGCAGGGTTACCAAGTTTGAATTGAATGAGGCTGCTTTTAAACTCTTGCCGTGGGTTGGTTTTTTCCCCGCGGGTTAAAGGTTTGACATATTGCATGAATTATATTTGACAGAAATGCATGTAGTGAAGTATTTTATATTCTAGCCGTGATAAAGCTGTGCTGGATGATGAGTTTTGTGCGGGACGGTCAGCGATGTCTTTGAGCTCTTTTATGAAAACAGAATTGAAATTGGGTTTTACTAAAAATAATTATTTAAAAGCATTTTACAAAATATATTTGCTTATTTTTAAAACAATAAAAAAATTCAAATGATGTAGTATATATACTAGAAATAAACATTTTAAAACATTTAATAAAGTATATAGTATGTTTATGATTTTAAAGCACTTAAAAAGTAAAATGATTCAGTATTTTATCTAAAAATAAGCACCTTCCTTCATTTGTAAAAAGATATAGTATATTTGCTAATTAAAAAAATATTTTTGTTTAAAAACAACAAAGAGAGAGATGGTAAATTTACATTTTTAATGCATGAAAAAAAGAATTTAGTATATTTACCAAAAATAATCATTTTAAAAGGATATATAATGTATTTTACGTGTTTTAAATCATTTAAATTAATATATTTACTAAAAACATTTTTTTCAAACTCTTAAGAAAATATGTAGTATATGTTCAATATTTTTTAAGAATTTAAAAATAAAAATGATTAAGCATATTTACTAAAATAAAGCATTAAGACCTTTAAAATAAACCTTTAATATATGAACTAACTATAATTATTTTAATATATTTAAGAAAATGTATAGTATATGATTACTGTTTTTTAAAGCATTTTTAAAAAAAGATTATTTTGTATATTTACTAAAAATCAACAGTATACTTACTAATTTAAGCATTTAAAAAGAAAAAATAATTGTGTATATATACTACAAAATAAATATATTAATAAAAAATTAATTTAAAATAGTTTACAATATATTACTAAAAGGAATAATTTTAAAACATTTAATAGCATATTTACAATTTTTTGTAAACATTTAAAAATAAAAATGATTTAGAATATTTACTAAAAATTAAAAAAAGACATGGAATGTTTTGCTGATAAACATATACCTTAAAAAATATACAGTCTTAAAAATAAAGCTGCTTAAAAGGTTTTTCACAGCAATGCCATAGAAGAACCATTTTTGGTTCCACAGAGAAGCATTCAGTCAAAGGTTCTTTAAAGAACCATCTCTTAGCTTTTTATA